AGAGACTCGAGTCTCTCAATTTTTCAGTTTTATTCATTCAGTCTCTCTGTGAGAGACTCGAATCTCTGAATTAACAATTTTATCGTTCGAGTCTCTCATACAGAGACTGTGAGAGATCCATAAAAACACCTAGGCAATAACTGAGAGACTGTGAAAGACTGTGAGAGCCGCTGAAAGACTCTGAGAGACTGAAGAGAGATTGAAAATTTATGTCTAGGGTTATTAAGTAGAGAAAATTTTTAAGATAACTACTTTTATAAAATAAATTAATCAAGCTTGACGTTAATACATTTCCATATTTTTGTTTTACCTTTCCGCCAATTATCAAAATATTTAATTAAACATTACTGCATTGTGTAACGTCTTTGTTTTCTTTTTTGGGTTAATTTTTACAATTTCCCTTTCGATTATTTTACTAAAAACGTCTGAATTGCCAAAAGACCCGAACAATAACAGTGATAATAATAAAAAATATTCTACTTACTGTAGTTTCCGGTACACTTCCCATTTCCAACTATTGGCATCATTAGGATTCGACCTTCCATGCTGTAATCGCCTTGTAGTAACAAATTTGGGATCCATAATTTAATTTTTACTTTATTTTTGTCTAAATCGATTCTAAAAAGTATTTTATTACTGCTTAACGGAAACAAGCGGTTTATATCATATATCGTAAGTAGATAAAAAGTTTTACTACAATTCGGTAAGAAAAGAAACTCGGGATACACAAATGTTACCGAAAGAGCTGATAGATCTATCTAGATCTGAAGAAAAATAGTTCATTGTCCTTTCAGTTCTGCAAATATTATGTTTAAAAATCGTGATACAATATTTTCAAATCTACAAAGATCTACAGAAATCACCACGTCTAAAGCTCATGATTAATAAAAGCTCATATTCCCCACGATGCAGATTTTCCTTCAACGATAACAGTAATTTGAGTTTACCTAACACTTTTCAATCCAAATTTTGAGGGACCATGAATTTCAATGTTCTTGAACGTCGATTTCAATGATACTGGACCTGACCCTTGATCGATCGAAACCTCTGGAATTTTTAGTGGTTCACAACGGGGTATACCAAATTCCGGAATCCCATCCTCCAAATGGGGTCTTATTTGTTCTACCGATTCCTTAATACAATCGTTTAAATTTGGATCACTTCTACTACATACTTTAAAAAAGGAAGCTAAAAAATATCAATATTTATCAAGCTGCTTCCCTAAAGATCTATTCAATGCATACTATCATACAGTTGATTAGCAATTAAACTTAGAAAAATGAACTAATGAACGTATTTGAAAGGATAGGTACTAATAAAATTATTTAATTTCTTTTTTTTTCAATATGCCACATCGTTGTAATATAACAGGGATGAATAATAATTTGCATAAAAATAAAAAGAATGAAAATTAAAAAACTGATACACTTACGAAGCGCAGCAGATTTTCGTGGTTCGGTCGCTATTTTTGTTACTAAAAGGCTACTAAATAAAACTAATAACCACATTTCTACTAATAAACCCCAACTACTAAACCCCAATCTATTTTTTCAACTGTTCGATTTGAACACAGTTGAATCATTGTAGTATTGTAGGTACCTACAAAATTTGTTTACAAAAAACAATATAAACTACGTACAGACACGCATTCAGTATAAATATTCTTGAGAATATGCTTCATTTGTGTCTTAGAAACCTTGAATATATCAAAACAGTTTCATTTACCACGTATTAAATTCGTTTTAAAATAAGATAATAANCTCAAATTAATGAGGGAAAAATTGTTGCTGTTGTCACACCCCCGCCGGGAATCGAACCCGGGACCTTTGGCTTTACGCACCAATGTTCTGACCACTAAACTACGAGAGGTGACAACAGCAACCACGACCAACCGACCTACAAGGTTAACGATCCGTCGATTTTTGTTATCTTAATTATATATATATTAAATATATGAAATCCTATGACATTGTTAATTACTTAATAGTAGAATAATATGCAATATTAATTTGAAATCATTTTTTCGATTTTTAATTTACCCACTACAAACTACCTCAAATTAATGAGAGAAAAATTGTTGTCGGTTGGTCGTGGTTGCTGTTGTCACCTCTCGTAGTTTAGTGGTCAGAACATTGGTGCGTAAAGCCAAAGATCCCGGGTTCGATTCCCGGCGGGGTTGAATTAGTTTGTAGTGGGCAAATTAAAAATCGAAAAAATGATTTCAGAATTAATATTGCATAATTAATCCACTATTAAGTAACTAACAATGTCATAGGATTTAATATATTTAAGCATTTTCATATTCTCCCTTCGTTTTTACTCATTTATACCAATAAAACAAAAAAAAATGGGACGAACAGACACCACAACCCTCGCTACTTCTAGTTACGCAATTATAAAATTACTGTTCATATTATTAAGGGCACTGTTGGTTAAAACTTGTTGCTCATTTGTTGCTATTTTAATTTCTAATCAGAAAAATTTACCTGCCTACTAAAAATATTTTTATAGACTTTGGATAATATTAATATTTATAATCATATTTGCATAGTGAGCAACATAGAAACTGATACGTAAAGTTTCTTACCTTTCACGTGTTATAACACATGAAATACGTAATTAAACAAGCATCCAATTTAAAAAAGTCGATAAACAATTTGTAAAAATTGGATGGCTTTAGGTAATAAAAGTGATAAAACATGACTATTATGTTTCATTTTAATAAACCCATGATTCTGTCGGACGAATTTACGACAGAGATCGCAGTTGTTTCCCTGTTTCAATTTATTAACTACTTAATTGACGCAGTAAAGAGCGCACGTCGATCGAAGAAATGGAGTAGAAACTGCATTTTTAGAGTAATATAAGTAGATAGGAGTTTTCTACTTGTATTATTTGAAAGTATTCATTAGTTATTATTGGTTGAAAATATACAGTAAAAAAATGCTTATTGTCACTTACCGTTATCCCTAAATTTCCTACTTCTTACCGCGTCCTAAATGTATACCTATGGGCATTCCCATTTCGTACCACGTTCTCCATATAATCCTGCAGGTAAAATTAAAAAATAATCAGACGCATAACAGAATTAAATTAAAAAAGTAAATTTAAAACATCATCATTATCATCATAAGGTCCTTTTTCGAATTTTTAATTAACCGTTCACGAGCATAGAAGTGACTTCTTTTTATTGAAGGCGACTCGACCCTGTGCTATCCTCTGCTTTATATCCCTACTACTCCTTCCGTCCTGACTTATCTGACTTCCTCGATATCGAAAATCAGCCATTTCTTCTAATTTTTCGTCTCCTATCTTTATATTCGCTCTTTCCTTACTTCTCTTCCCTTGCATACCAGTATTTCTGTTTTACTTTTATTTATTTTCATACAGTGCTATTTTGTCAATACCGCATCCATCTTATTTAAAGCTAACTCTAACTCCTCCTTGCTAAATGCAAATACTGCTATATCATCTGCAAATCTAAGCATACTAATCTTTTGCCCCTGTATATCTACGTTGCAGCCCCATCTCAATAACTGTCTGTTGCCCTTTATACAACATACCTATTGTAAATTTTCTAGGCATGTCTCATTTGTTTTTCTTCTTTCTACAAAATCTGTTACTGCATGTTGTATTGAAGTGTCAATACTTCTGTACGCCCTTTTTCCTTTTGAGTGCTGTGTTTTATAAATTAACTTACACATATTTTTATTCCGAGTCTCCCACCATCTACCCCTTTAAATATTCCCTGATTATGCTATATATAATTTTATAATTTTAAAGCATAAGTATTAAGAGATAAACAGGCACATACAAACAAATTTTTAAACTACTTTAGATTCCTTACAAAGTAGGAAAAACAATGTACTTAACTATCTGTTATTTACTAATAATAAGAAATTTTCAATTACTGAAATATGTTTTTATCAGTACGAAATGAGAAATTTTACGGATGCATACAGTAAAATAGCGGAGGAGACTTTTGGAGAATGCATTTTGCTAATATTGAGAGACTTACCCCCTGATTGGAACTTTCCAGGTATTTCTAGAACTTTCTGGAACATTCCATATCGATTTTAACGGTTGCACACATTTTGGAACTTTGTAGATCATTCCAGAAATTTTTAAAACCTTCTAGAACATTCTAGATCGATTGTAACAGTTGCATACATTCTGGAGTTTTCTGGATAATTTCATAAATTTTTAGAACTTTCCAAAGGATCTCATAAGTTAGAAAAGGACAGATATATATATTTTCACATTTTCGCCACCCACAACCGCCCACTTCCATCCACCGCGACCAAACTCCCGTACTTTCAGCAGGAGACCAAGGGGTATTTACCACCCCAACGGGAAGTTGATAGGAGTTGGTGGTGATAGAGAAAACCCTGTCTTTACGTACGCACATTAGCATTTTATATATATATTTATATTTAGATTTAGATTAGATTAGATTATAGGTATAACAGTTGTTTAACTATGTTTTTTAATTTATATAATTGTTAGTGTGCCGCCAAATTTTTAAATTATTAAAAGTGTACCGTGACGAAAAAATGGTTGAGAATCACTGCTCTAGAGTCTAGATGACAACAGAACCTTAAAGAATAGCAAATATTAACTACCAAAATATCTAGTTATGTATAAAAATAAAATCCATACACTAAGTGTTTTGGAAGCAGCGTTTCAAAACTATTAGCATTTCGATAAACAATCTATTAAAAAAATATACTATTAACAACACAATTAATTCATACCACATATACTACTATAATAACGAATAGCAATGACCTTTTTATAAATACGATATTATGAGTAAATGTTTATCGGTAGACAAATTGTAAATTTGTTTTTTATGGTGTTTTTGTCAATTAGCTTCCTGATTAAAATAATGTAATTAATGACTTTTCAATTTATCCTTTTCTGCACAAAGTTATAGTTTTCAGCATTAATTTTCGAATATCTACATCTACATCGTTTGATAACTATGTCTTTTTGAAAAAGCAACTTTACGCCAAACATTATAAATAATTAAACTCTGATTTTTATCACAATGTTGATTACTATTAAATACTTAGTTTTCCTAAAAATCTTTATCTATCGTTTCCAAAACTACTACAATATTATTAAGCTCAAATGACTCCATTATATTATTATTAACTTACTTTCTACATTTGTTCATTACTCAACATTATTAAGTACTAAAGCAGAGAATAATAATTATTATGTATTATCAATTTTAGATGGATTAATATCTAAATAGCAATAGTCATTAAAATGTACCCTATTCAAAAATTGTTAATTACTTATAAATTGATTCTTAAACTAAACTACAAATGTTGTATGTTATTGGAACATTTTTCAAACAAATTTCATAAGTGAAAGAAGTGTCTACTAGCATTTAAATTTTATTAGCATTATGAAGGTGTTTGTTTTTATTGTTTTTAGTTTAAGTGTAACAGTGCAATCGAAAAAATTGCGTGAGTATTTTGAAATATAAAAAATTAGATTTACATGGAAATTGCAATACTATTTTTTAATTAAACCACTTAAAATTTTTATTTTTAAGAAGATGGTAGAGAAAGTTTAATATTTACAAATTAATTCTTCTACAAAGACTATCCTAGTATTCAAAACCTTTAAACCCATAGAAGTATTTGTGCTTTCACTTTTAAATTATTGATGGTTGAAGAATTTCATCATTTCTCCTTTTAACAACAAAATTACGAAAAATATCTTTTACTTATCAAAACATCAAGACCCGTTTTCTACAACCTTATAAATATACTTTTTGCAGCTGCTTACATTACAAAATGTAGCCGTTCAAGTCCATCGTTCACTCAATGTATTTTGGACAATATTGAAAAAATTCGGCCGTATTTAGCTAAAGGTATCCCAGAAATGTCAGTTCCGCCCATGGAACCCCTTGTCATACCGAAAGCTCAGATAAGAAACACGGTTTTTGAAGATATCGAACTCACAAATGGCACCACCTTCCAAGTACATAATTTAAATGTGACCAGTAAATTTGACACCATTGCAGCAGACATATCATTAGAAAGAATTGCCATAAAAGCAAAATATCATATCAACGAGCACATACTGGTCCTTCAACTCCGAGGGAATGGCTCGTTTCAAGCAGTAGTTAGTAAGTACATGCCTTTTTTCGAATAATACTTCTTTTGGGGCGTGAGAGTAAAATTTTAGCATGCAACGGAAATTGTGCGCGCATCGGTAGGTACAGAGGATAATAGTCTAACATTTGACCTTGACCTTAATGTCCTGAGTCATTTAAAGTTCAAATTAGTTTTTTTCTCAATAGAAATCCCTATTTCCAACCTCGAATTCCGATAGAGTCTAAATTTTTATATTCAGGTAGGTACTTGAATAAAATCAGAAAGCAGTAAACTGTAATGGTTTCTATTTAAAAGAACCCATGATCTCTAGGTAATATTATAGATCACTGTCTGACGTACCTATCCCAATCCTGCTAAAGTAGCTGAAGTTGCATTTTATGGAAAAGTTGTATAATTCATAAACAACTCGGTCCTTACGCCCTTGTCTATTTTCTCTTTTTCTGTTTCAGATAACCTTAAGGTTCATGCAGTATACGATTTAGTACCTTATCAGAGGAAAGGAAAGCAATATATTGAACCAAAAAGGCACAAAAGCATTCTGACTTACCAAGTGAGCGACGTTCATTTTGACAATTTATTCCCCGAAAGAAGCGAACTAACTGTTTCTACAAATAAAATAATCAACGAGAATATCGACACAATTATGGAAGAATTTAAACCGGGATTTGATGAAACTGCTCTAACAATTTTCCAGATATTATTGGGAAGGATTCTTCGAAGATTTTCAGTGGACGATTTACTAAGCGAATAATACCATAATACCTAAATGTATAAGTTATTGTTTAATAACATTTGTAATGTTACCAATGCACTTGTTATTATATTATCTTATTCATAATACGTAAAAATAGGATGTACATAAAAATTTCGAATAACTAAATACGATAGATACCCGAAGTATTTGCTTCCAATAAAACCTATTGGAAACACAACAAGAAAAAAAGTCATCGTAATTGCACGGGAGAAATGATAAGTACAAAAAATATTTACTTAATTTTCTTATAATTTAATTAAATAAAAGATTTGTATAATCATAATTGTTTTATGGCTTTCAACGAGTCCTTGTGTATCTACACAATACTTAATGAGGGATCTTTACTAAAGTCCATATTCAGACCATAATCAATCTATTAAAGTCGATTAAAAACTGAATTAAAAATAAAAGATATTTTCAGGTTTCTTTTATTATTAGACCTTATACCCCGTGTCATTCTTACTGCATAAATATAACCTTGGAAATCAGCAGATATGATTGTAAATAAACAATCTCCCAAAAAATATATTGGAGAATTATACGTTAGTAGAACAATAAATTACATTTTCCTCTCAGAGTTGACAGCATGAAACGGAAAACAAATTTTTCAAACAAACTGCTTAGATATTGTCATTAACATTGCAAATCGTTATATAAATCCTTGTGTTAGGTATATGCTAAAGGTTCTACCACTAAATATGTAAAAGGAATATGCAAAACAGTTTCAAAATAAAATCAGGCTGTGGAAAATTTTATTATACTAAATAGTGATGACCTTTCTTCTGTATTCCGCAATATCTTCAGTACTCTATAATCGCTTCAGTTTAATTTTATCTGTTTTGGATTATAAAGACAAAATTGTAAATCCTTTACTTTGTTATTTATTGCTGGAACAATAACTCTACTAACCCATTTACCTACCACAAGGAAGAGAAAGATACCCTTATCTTTCTCGGCTAGTCGCAGGTATGGAACACTGTTGGTAGGGGAGACCCTAGAAAAACGAGGTTCGGGGCAAGACGGAACAAGCGCTAATGTACATAACTCGTATGCGTATATATGGCCCCGATATAGGGCTATCCGGACGAACTTAAGTAGCCCTTCATGAGTCAGCTGGAAGAGAACGTGTCGCTATTGTTTTTTTTTGGCTACACTGTGAGAAAAACTTGAATTTGTTCATATTTTTACGAAGTGTGACAAATGTTGACGTATTGTCAGACAACTAACAAAATATTTTTGCAGTATTTTCAGCCTTAAATCGTAGCAGTAGCATCGGAGTTTGATATAAGATACTTTTCAAAGCCGTCACTGTTTTAGGTTAAAAGTACTTGGTTTAAGAAGAAAATATTTTGTTGGAGCAAAATGGTCGGAGCCTAACGGGATACTCAATATGAACAGAAAAATATCCAAGAAGTAAAGTGCGCTTGACAAACACTTAAATGAGTCATTCTCACCAATTCCTAATTCTATTGGGCAGGCAGTTTCTACGAACTATTCCGGAGAGTAAAGCGAAGGGTCCTTTTCAGCTTCTTATTAGGAATCATGAGAATGAATGGGTGGCGATTGGGGTGGGAAAGATGAGACGGACGAAATAAAGACAAGTGAAAGACCATCTGTGAAATAAAATTATCATTACTACTGCCCCATCATTTATCCAAGTGATCCAAAGAAGTTCGTAATCGAACCACTGTCCTCCCGAAAGTTCAGCAATGGTGTAAACCTTTAGGGAATGCTGCTGGGTACTGCGCTTGTTTTTACTGTGCAAACTTATTCACAGTCGACCAAAGGATGATATTTTGCAATGTTGTAGGATGTGCCATAATTGGGCCCATAATATAATTCCTATTTTTGAGTTGATGAGCACGACAATTTTGCGTATACTTGTGAACGATGCCAGTCTGATTAAAATGTATGCTCTTTTTACCCCGTGTCATTTCCCATTTTGCCCCGACCACGAAGAAATTTAAGTTCCTTTTTGTTCTTTCTTATTATGAGAAAATTAAGTGATTTATTGTTTTGAATATCTAAAGTTGATGTATAATGTTGCTAACTGAGTAAAAATTATTCTATTAAACAATTTAATTTTTTTATATAATGATTCCTTTCTTAAGTATCCCACTTTGCCCCGGTTTCCCCTACTTTATAAAACTTGTGCATCTTTCTCTCTATTTATACAGTTTGTAGCGGGTGTCTGTTTTACATACGATTTCTTTTGAAAATAAAAATCAATTCTATTCTATAATAGACTAGAATGGTCACACTTTCGGAAATTACCCTATTCGGACGGGAAAGTTCGGTATCTTTTGTAGATTTCTCCTTCTCCACGAAAAATAAAACAATATCTTCAAAATTAAAAAGAAGTTACTGACAATTTAATGAAATCAGCAACGAAAGCGAAATTAAAATAACCGTGAACTCAAGGTGATATCACATTATGTTATATTAATAACTAATAAACAGCTGCCAATGTATATGTCCAATTACAATTCTGTAAACCTGGTCAAGTTCAATTTCATATACCTACCTAAATATATCTACGCTAAGGTCAAGTATATAAATCGTATGCAATTACACATGATATTTCAAAAATATTCCAATTACCTGTAGCAAAAGCATCGGATATCTATGAGGTTGTTAATTAAATTTAAAACTTTAATTGTTAATTACTCAACAATGTCCAAAAGTTTAACTAGAATTGTACAGAGAAGGATGGAAAAAAGGGCGGAAGAACTGCTAGGGGAAGATCAATTTGTGTTTAGAAGAAATAGAGGAACACGGGAGGTCATTCTCGATTTACGTGTAACAATAGAGAAAACGATAGAAAAACGAAAAACTGAGTACATAGGATTTGTAAATTTAGAAAAAGCTTTTGACAATGTTAAATAGAAAAAAAGTAGGGAAAAAGAGGATATAAAGATAGGAGACGAAAGATTAGAAGAATTGGCTGATTTCAAGTATCTAAGAAATCAGATAAATCAGGACGGAAAGAGTAGTAGGGATAAAAAGCAAAGAATAGCGCAGGATCGACTTGCCTTCAATAAAAGGAAATCAGTTCTATGCTCGCAAACAATTAATTTAGAAATTCGAGTAGCCGAGCTAAGGCCAAGATACACTTTTAATTGCCTCTTTGGAATTTCTGAGTTAACCGTTGAGCATAAAAATGACTTTTTTGTTAAAATCTACTCAGTCCTAGTGCTTTTCCCATCCTGAGTTAGCTGACTGCTTTGATATCAAAATTCTCCTTTTTTGTTTTTTATATTAGTTCTAATCTTACTTTTACATCTTTTACTTACTGATAGTTTTGTTTTTTTATAGTCAACGTATTTACATTTTCTTTATACAAACTGTACACTTCAAACGATATCTTTAAATCCACTCCATTACGATAAATTTGGATTTCAATGTTACGACTCGTGACACAGGGATATTAAAACAAAAAAAAAAAACAACGCCAGACTTTATACTTTGTACATATATAAGAAAGTAAACTGATTTTAATATATGTAGCTTTATTTGAGAGTTGTGGTCACCTTCGGTAAGAACTGACGACTTGATGTACCTGAAAGATCTTTAACCTCGTTGCAAAAAATGTTTAATGAGTTGAGGAAAAATCCTGCATATTCATACGGCGGAGGTCGGTTTAGTACATTTACTTCCGCTGATGAGCGCAAGGGCAACGACGACGACTCAAGATTTACCGTGCCACTTATAACCTTTTCGAGTTAGTACCCCCGCAATATTATCGTCTTAAAAAGACTTTATTAAGCGTCCTCGTTATATGAAATCGAATTTTTGAAATGACAGAAAACCTCGACACACATAAATTAAACAAAAGATGTAGGGTCATGTCATGACTAAGGTCCAATTAGAAACTATTAAGATATTGTAAAAAATTTATTTTAACTACTCGCAGCCATCAATCTCCTAGAAGTGATGATAATATATACAAAGGGGAACATAAGGTTAAGACGCAAGCATTCCCGGGCACGACGTCTGTCCCAACATCAGAATAATCACTATATATTCAAGTTCAAATTTTGGGGAACTTTTCCTGCCTTCAAAAATTTTAAATAAGACAAACTGAATTAAAAATTTTTAGTTTGAAAGTGCCTTTTTGCAGGGTTTATTTATATAATGTTTAAATATCTAATGATCTAAATCAGTTTTGGTATTCATGACCCTATGATTATAATGGTATACCTTCATACCTTCGTTACCCTGTTTTCCTTGACAGTTTGATAGTTCTATATCGAAAGTTTGCCGACTCCTGGTATACACTCATTTAATTTCCAAGAATAAAAATTATTTGAATGTTTTTAACATTAGTTACCTGTCTCTTTTAACAGTTAATTATATATTTTTTTAAAAGTTAATCAATATCAGTAAACTTTATATAAAAGGTCAGAGTAGAATTGTAAAAATGTCAAAGATTTAGTGCAAAAAATTAATGTGAAATCATAATTCATTTCAGTTCAGTACTGTAAATCAGCGAGACCACTTCTATCCTGAATAAATATCAAAAGGCAAAACAGGTTGACAGTCAGTTACCAAAAATATTTTTTTTTCAAAATGCAAATTTTTTGCTTTCGCATGTTACAGGAATATGCAAATAGTGATACGTATAGCTAGTTTAGAATGACAAGCTTCGCATTCATATTGTGCATTTAGAAAACATTGACTTGAGTGTTAACCATGTGCCCCAGTGTACAACTAGGTATGAAACTCCAGATAAAGTGATGTAAATAGCTCCAGTTTTCAAACAAAACTCAATGTTTTTGAGAGAAATCAATTATGTACGTCATTCTTCAAAATCAAAAGTAAACAAATAAAATTGAAATGTCTTACGCTAAAACATGGCTAGATTCTATAACAAAACTTGCAAAATTATCGTTTTGCATATGTTTCAACTTAGCCAGTTACACCAGTTTTATTTTTTTTAAAGCTCTGCAATCGTGAATATCATAAATATACCTAATCGAAGGAAACTTTTCAGTCAACCTATTAATTTTTTGCTTGTTTGTTTGTGGAAAAGAAGCGAATAACCTCTGAAAACTTGAATATGTATTCAGTCAACAAGTATCTTAGTTTTCGTCTTGACAAGCCTACAATTTACTGATTTCATGTTTGTAGGCATTTATTAGATTTTGATTAGCTCCTATCTCTTCTCTAGTACCTTGGTCTTTTTATTTTTCTTTCAATTTTTACAGCATGTCGATAAACCTCTGTTCACATTACTTTATGCACATTATAATATACCCTACCATTTCTATTCTACGGAGATGTTTTATCTAAAGAAATAAACTGAAGTATTTATGTGGTAAACAAACATTTTTATCATTATTCCAATTGATTAATTTACATTAAAAATGGTGTTCGAAGCGTGTATTTATGCTCAAATTCGACCCTTTTATGGTGCAATTAATGGTTTTACTAAAACTTTAAGTATTGACAATGAGTGAACTGAAGAATGATACATTTTCAGGATTTAATTTTTTTTTTGTTAAAACCTTTGGAAAATTAAAGAAACACTACATATATTTGAAAATAATAATTCAGTTGCATATCTGCAGTTTCGTTGTCCTTTTTTTGGAGACAAATGTAGTGATGTCCTGACGTGAAGGATACCACAATAGAGAGAATTATCCTTCAAAAAACTACATGATGTTCAGTCGCGTTTTTCATTTATTACTATCAAATTCATTATCAGAGAAATAAAGTTAAGAAAAGCAGTCGCTAAACTAACTAGTTATATTTCTTAGTTCTAATAAATGCATGTGTGTTAGAAAATATTGTACATATTAAACATAATTGCATGTATCATTTATTACATTGCGATAATTGAAATGTTTTAGATACCAATAGTGAATTTATGAAAAGTGACGCGGTAAAACTATTGTTGTTATTGGTTATAAATTGTGTTTTCAGAAAAAGTTAAGTAATGGTGTACCTACTGATTAAGTTTCCAAAATGTTACTAACCATAAAACTATTTAGTACCTAAAATACCTATATAGATAAGGATACCTATTAGAAAGGCTCAACAACAATTTTCAATTAACAAATGCTCAACCATTAAATATAAAGAATTCTGTTAAGTTAAAACATTAGAACATGTACAACGCCATTTTTCATAATTTGGTTACCAGTCTCAAAAATTAAAGCAAGAATTTTTTTAAAGCATCTTTAATTATTTTCTCCAAATGATCTAAATATTTATTAAAATTACTTTCATTTTCCAGAAATACTGTTGCAGCTCTTGGTAAATGAACCTTGACTCTTTTGAATTAAACAATTAATTTGCGGAAACCAAATTATTATATACATAATATACATAGGTATATAATAAATACGTATGTACCTATACTGTATATATATATATACCGCATCTTCGTGAATGTGCATATCCATGGAATAATTTTTGTTTACAGCCACGTCCTTATATAGCGCGTTTAATGTTATATGTATGTAAAGGTGGCAACAATAAACCTAATTGAGGTAAACAGTTTCGATTCAAGATCAAGTGCGCTCTGTCTATAAAAACTCACTCCCCTGTACTGAAGACATCAGTTCAGATTTGTACATACTTGGTGCGAAGTTATAGCAAACAAAAACAAAAAATGAAGTTGATAGTTCTCTTGGTTACGGCACTTGCCGGGGTAGTTTCTTCAAGAAAATTGCGTAAGTTACTTTCAAGACTTTTCATATTTCATTTAATTTTATTAAAAGTGTATTTTAAGTTTCTTATTGACTAACTATTGAACCAAAATCGGGTTGTAAATAATAAAGTGGGAGGATTTTTCAAAGTAGGTTTTAATTTAACCGGATACCCAAAATAAATTTACTGATATAAAACCGACGTTTCGCCAGCAGTTGAAGAGATTTTTCAAAGTGGGTTAATTTCACCGGATTGTGGTATTTTTATAAAAATACAAACAAAACCTTCTCAAACGTTAAACTCATATAGGGTTGTAAATAATTTTATTTATTAATGTGAAAATAATTCTTAATTTTTATACACTATAAATTATCTCAAAATCATGAGGAAAAATTATTACTGCTATCACACCCTAGCCGGGAATCGAACCTGGGGCCTTTGGCTTTACGTACCAATGCCAGTGGATAAAAATTAAGAATTAATTTTTACATTAATATTTAGTATTGACCACTAGGAAGTGTTTTATATAATAATTTTATTGATGTAAAAACAAATTACGACATTTACCCCTAGTCAGGAGGTAAAAAATGTGCAAAAAATCACGCACATTTCGAGGGGAGGTGGCTAGAATCCCCCGAAACCATCCCCTGCGTTCACGCCTGCTTACTGCGACGGAGTATAGTGAAAACTGTATACTTATAACAGAATAAAAGGTGTAGGTTGTTATACCCTATATTTTGAGAATTATATTGTTTTTTTATTTTTAATTTCTCTATGGAAGTCAATAAAAAATAGGCGAGATAGGGTGCCAGGACACCTTCTCAGGCATGAAGGTCTAGTCAAAGACATATTAGAGGCAGAAACAGGAGTTAAGAGAAGTAATGGTAGACCTAGATTAGATAACTGTTTGCAAGTAGTTAGGGAAATGCGAAGATTAGCTCAGGATAGGAAGGAGTGGAGGTGCGTGTCCAACCAGTCTTAGGACTGACGACATTATGAAGTTGATGAAAATTATTTTTTAGAATTCATTTGTCACAATATTTTGTAGACTTTTTACTTCTTTATTGTAATATAAATAATTACTAAAAATAACAACTAGAAATAAAACAAGTAACAATATGTTCACTTTGTACATGTTTGCATCCCTTTAGATTTCTACACACAATTTGTTAATTACTAGTATACTATTTGATAATTGAAATTAAAAAGTAATGCGAATTACAAAGTATCCAATAAGCTTTTTAGTTTTCTTGTAACAAATATCTTCAGGATGATATGTAATCATCCCCCTACTAAAGTAAAAACCGTTGCTAACAATTTCTAAGATAGAAATTTTAATGAACACTACAATCTGTCAATGAAGACAAAGTATCTCATTATTTTTCTATTTAAATCTAATTAAATATTTGTAGCAGCTATTATTAAGGCACTATTTTACGTATTAATTAAAAAGAGTTTTTATGCAATTGTTGGTTATTAAATGTGCTGAAAAATTATTAGAAACAATGTAAGCAATTACGTTAACATTAATATAACCTGTTGCGGTTTTAGTTAAGGTTTCTATTGAATAAATAACATTTTGCAAATCCATTTCTTCTTTGTTAATAAAACCCCTTGTCAGTCAGAGACTTAATCATCTATACAACTTTGCAAATTATTTTAATACGTATATGGAGAAGGCCAATAAAAAAATAGGAACAATCTTAAGGATTTCACAAATTCTTTTAGAATTAACTTATTATTTTACTATTGTACGTATATAATTTTCGTCAAGCATTGAGTTCATCAGGCGCGAGTAGTTAGAGGTAATTTAGAATGACATGAACCTTAGCTTTGTACATCTAAAGGTTCCGGTGATGCCGAATTCTATCCCGCAGGTAGTTTTGGTTAAAATATAGATGTCGAATTCCCTCCCGGCTACTAGCCGAGTTCCCTCCCGTTCATATCAGCTCCGATAATTAAGTTAACGACTACTTACCGATTTTATTTATCGAAAATAAATATATATTTATAGTGCACTTCAGTACTTCAGTAAATTAAAGATAAAATAATTTCAGAAAGAAAACACATATCAGTTATGAAATGTTTATTTATTTAATTTTAAAATGGTTTCCCACTACCTTAACAAATTCAATATTTGGAAATTCGTGTGCGTCTAGCTTTTTGATGTAATCATCTAGAAAATTTTTATTAGTTTTAGTTTGTCTTGTTAACAATTTTTTAAAATTAGATGAAACACTTCGTATTTTAACATAAATTTCACATTGAAGATCTAGTAAAACAAGGTCATCCGCCGCCGTTGGGAGGCAATTGATGTATAATTGGGAAGGGATTCGACATACCGAAAATTTTAACTCTAATTAAAAACAGGTAAATGGGAGGGAACTAGGCACTATCCAAAGGTTCACGTCATTCGAAATTCTTTAAGATGTAATTTTTTGTCGATATAGTGAACTTTTAATGAATATAGATAAAAAAAAATTGAATGTTAGTGAATGTGAATGATTCAAGACAATGCTGACTTATTCGTTTCTTTTTTAGCTGACTTCGTACACAAATGTAAAATTTCTGATCCAGAAATCGGCAACTGTATTGCTGAAAACATAAATAACCTTAGATCGCGCTTTGCCAAAGGCATCCCAGAACTAGGAGTTCCTCCTGCAGAACCCCTACTGATTCCCAAAGCTGAACTAAAATCCCCGAATCCTGACGGTCTCAGAGCCAATTTCTACGACATTCACGTGTACAATCCATCGAGCTTCGAAATAAAAAAACTGAACGTTGATCCAAAAGGAAACACAATCGATGTTCACGTCTATATTCCGTATTTACATATCACGGCCAAATATGAAATGAACGGTAAAATCTTGATCCTTCAGCTAAAAGGAAGTGGACCAGGAGAAGTTAACATAAGTAAGTCCTTCACCTAATTCTTCACAAAATATAAATTGAGGCAAAATTTTAATATATAATTTAAATGAATATTTATATAAGGATTAATGATCTCCAGGAGCTACTTTAAAGTAACACCCCTTTCTTTTTCGCAACGTTTTGTCAACAATTTAAAGTTGATCTCTTTAGGCGATAGATAATATATATTACCTCGCAAAGAGGAATGGCGTGTTAATTTAAAGTAACTCTTGGAGATCAATCCTTAAATAAATTGACATAAAATTGATAAAGAAATAGGTAATTCCTTCCTTAAGCATTTCTTTATGCTTCTTCAGACTTTTTAATAATTTTACTGAAAATCGAAATTGAGAAACGTTGACAAAATTGGGATGTCCTTCAGTTTAACACTTGTGCATAAAATGTTTAATTTGCAATATAAGACCTAAGAACGCTCTAGTTTCTAAGAGAATCGACTTAGAACGATTAGCCATCAAGCACTGCAATACTAACTATATCTAGGAAACTGGGAATGATTCGTTGTTATGCGTGTCTTCCTGTGATATCTATTTTGTTAGATTCAAAATGTAAAAGTTCAAGAAAATTAAGCGAAGGAGATTTGTCCGATACCACTAACAGATTAAATCTGATTTGGAATGTCTTTCATTTGAAATATTTGAATATTTTGAAATTCCCATATAACAATTATACATACCCTATTAGCGACCCCCTTGTTAAGCCTTTACACGTATTAAATCGAAAATGTTTAACTTTTGTTTGTGTTATACTTTTCAGCAAACATTGACAGCAAAGTTGGATATAAATTAAGTCAACACGAGAAAAATGGCAAACAGTATTACCAACTCGAACGCGTTAGCCAAGAGCTGAATTACAAGGTGACAAAACTCGGATTCAAAAATTTATTCGAAGGAAGAGACGATTTAACAGAATCCACCAATCAGGTTTTAAACGAAAACATCGATGAAGTTATGAAGGAATTTAAACCTGTCGTTGATGATACTGTGAAAGCTGTTGTCGATGGAATAGTATTCCGAGTTTTTGATAGATTCTCTATTAATGAACTGTTTGATAATTAGATATTTTTTTGTTATTGATTTATTTATTTCATTGCTAATAAACATGTTTATATAATAGTGATACGATTATTTAATATGTACATTCTATATTCCCTAATGTTTTTTGATCACAAAAATGATCTGTTGAATGCTTCAAAATATTGAATTCGGGCCTTAAGTTTTAATTGAAACTGAAGAAATATAAAAGGAATGAGTGAAAAGATTAAAAGGTTAAGAAGCTAATAAAAATGTTAGCTACCCTTACCTAGTAGCTATACTCGATAACAATAAAAGTGTCCTTAAGATTACCAATTTTTTCAAAAACCAATGATGGGCAAAATTGACTTTCACACTTTTCTTAGTGATTTGTATGAAAATTGACTACTAAAATGCATAACAGAATTTTCATATTCCAATACAGTAAATCTTCGGCATGTTTTTATTTTATGTACAATCATCATTCCCATAAACCCAATGAACTTGCATAATGATTTACAAATACTAAATGTGAACATTAAAAACTTCTAATTAATTAATTATTCAACGAGACTAAAAGTTTAATTGGTAACAGCACTTAATTGCGGAAGTTTCCTTTCAGAACCGGCTCTGTTTGTTTACAAAAACAAATTATACCAATACTATCATCCGGATGGCCATGGACTGACGATTTTGATAAAATGATAAAATACTTCAAACGTATGAACTTGATTTTATGCAGTCAGTTAAGGTAATTCAGTGACCTGGAGAGATTATAGTCGGGCCCACTAAATAGCATCGTTAAATTAAAATATTAGTATTCAAAATAATTTATTAAAGTGGGAGTAATTATTTTGTTTTTCTTTTATATTAAAATTATATCTAAAATAACAAGATAATGATAAATAATGTATTTGTATTATTACCAAGCAGTTACATTTTGGATAGACTGCAAATGCGAGTAATCGAAGAAAAGAGGAAAATTACTATCTTTTTCATAATTGGCCGAAATAGTTATGTTAATGAAGACATGACAATTCAATTATAATTAGCCAATATTTTCATGTCTATCAATAGGCCATATACATTAACGCAAAATGGAAAACAATGTTTCCCTTTTAATTAGTCCTCAAAAACTTCAACATTTAACAATTCAGATTCAAGATACAGGCTATAGGGCCGTGGATGCCGGCCGTGAAATCCTTTGTTCTTATATTATTTAACAATATGTTTAATAGTCTTGAAAATTCAAGAAAATATTTAGAAGGCAGAAAATAAAAGTCACATTAGGAATGAAAGTTAGATTTATCTTAGTAACAATTTTATTTCAACAAATACCCACAAAATTTACCTTAATTGTATTATAAGTAAATAAATAAATAAATAAATACGAAAATAGTTATACCAAAAAATATACAATACAGATAAAACGAAAGTGGAACTGATTCTGCCATCTACAGGGGAAGTTAGAAAATTACCTCAAATAAACTTGTGCAAGGGTAGTACAGTTTCGCCATCGTACGGTAATTTATGAAATAAAATTAGAAATATAATTGTTATTATCAAAAGATTATTAAAATAAACTAATAATTTTGATCTACAAAATTGCAAAAATGCTCGATAAATCAACCGAAAGGATCGAAAATGGTACAGGAAAAAAATAAGCTTTTCGGTATTCAAAGGACTGGCATTTTTTGTTAAAAAAACAACAACTTTAAATTGAAACCTAAACTTTAATTAAACGTTACTCATCACTTTAAGCACACGGAATTGAAGTTCGTAAGAAACAAAGGTGGATAAAAGCGAATCGCCGACCAAGGCATACTTGATATAAGTCAATATTATAAAAGAGTTTAATTTTCTCAAAAAGTCTTAGTCGTAGATAGTAACATCTTTATATTTAACGAAAGGAAATAAAATTTTCCCCATTATGAACTGACAAAAAATATAGTATTCCATTAAAAAAAAATAGTTATGCCAGTCCCAAATAATTTATTTTGGAAGTGGTAAATTTCAATGAATTTGAATAGGGCATAATTGCGTTAATAGTGGGAATAGTGAGTTATTTCTTCCACAAGCTATGTGTGAAAATAGCGCATCTCTGTGTGCTTTCATTTCGGAGATATTCAAAATTCGAATAGTCTATTTATTGAAATAGTGCAAATTTTATGGAAATTGATGCATTTTGGACATAATATATGGTTAACAAAGTGGTATAGAAAGTTAACGAGGAATTGTAATAATAAATGGGGCATTCCATTTGAAAAAATGAAGTTAGGATGCCTTCAGGAAAAACGGGACGCTCTGTATAATCGTAAACAATTTTTGGATATAAAGATACTTACTTAGTCGTGAACAAGCATTCCAATATGTTCTTCATAAAATGTTGCCAGCAATAAATTTAAGTGAGTCTTGAAGCTGCCTGGAAATTTTCGTTAGTTTAGAAATGGGAAAATCAGAGAGAAGATGGAAGTCACTAGTAGCTAGACCGGAAAGCAATTCGAAACAAAAAAGAGGAATGCCGACTTTTGGAATTACGCCTGGATTTTATCAGAATCTTGGTATTTCTCGTACCAAATCAGTTTTGATACTTGTCGTCATTATTTATGTCCCGTGGGTGGTAGAGCTTCCCGACACCCACGTAGTAGGAGCTCCCGGACATCATTAAGATCACTTTAACTCAATTTAAATCTATAATATTTTAAATCACAAAATTTATTTATAAAACATTCATTATCATAAATAAAATGGTTTATTTACACAGGTACAAATCAAAGAAGAATTATGTCAAATTTACAATGTTACTTAATTATTATACTACAATAATTATTAAATTTACTTGTATTAGGTATCGCTTCACTGCTTCCCAAAAATAATAGCGATTCTACCAAGACCAAGCTTCACTTACATTTTAAATTTGATTGTAACGATTAACAGTACTAGTTGTAATAATTTTATTTGGCAGGAAGCAGTTCACTAGCTGGTATTGTTGAGAGGATGCTGTTGAACATTTGTCCGTAAAATTGGGCAGCTGATTCGACGTAAATGGGGTTGATGGCGTCCAGCACACGTCTTGGATTTTCGTTAAAGAATGTCGTTATAAGATCAGCTAAAAACAAATAAAACAAACGTTGTAAATAAATATACAATTGGACAGGATCATGAACATTGGAAAAAGAAAATTGAGAAACCAATTGTTGTTTCGCGACGTTTCGTCTCTATTTCTTCAGACTTTATCAAGCTCTCAATTATAGTTGCCACCTTTTCAGGCTTTACATAAAGTATTTCTCGACTAAAAGGTTAAAAAAAAAGTACTGACCATAAAAATAAAGTATTTTATTTTTTGTTTTTAAACATATTTTCTGTTACACCTAGCAGCCAGTAACAAATTGCTGTCGCTCTTAAATACATTAATAGCCTCTAAACATGGCAAGCAAAGATTTAAGTAAACTAAAAGTTCATTTTTAATTAGTTTTAATGAAGCTTTATTCCTGTCGTCCCGCCACTTTGCGTTCATAACAGAGAATACTCTTTCTGTAAATGCTGAAGTGGCCGGAACGGACAGCAAAAGTGACACTACTTTGAACAGATTTGGGAAATCAGGTTGTTCCGTAAATATGGCTTGCTATTTTTTCTGTGCAATATTATTGGAGTAAAAATACTTTGAATTTCGAATAATCGCTTACAAAATTACGATGTTTACTTAAGGCCTTAAATAAAGTATTTTTGCATACTTTATGTGCCTTGTAAAGTATAACGTACGCACAGTCGAAATAGCGTACAATAATTTATAATAAAGTACGGGTGGCAACCTTACTCTCAACTTATCTAACTGACTATCAAAATTATAAATATAAACATAAAGTTAGGTGCGTCTTCTTTGATCCAACCAGTTTGTTTAAAATTTTTTTTGGCTAATTAATTAAACTTGGTGAAAATTAAAACAGTATTGTATAAATTAAAATTGTCTCTGTTAGGTCTATATATTTATAATTATGACAGGCAGTTAGATAAGTTGATAAAGTCTCAAAAAATAGAGACGAAACGTCGCGAATCAACAATGGTCTGATTAGTTTTTTAATTTTGTTTTCCCAATACCCATAATTATTGTCTGAGGGAAGTGATTTCGTCATGATTCTAAATAAAATTCATCTGTGTATTTCAAAATGTAACCCATTATCTATATGTGTTCTAATATATTGCATTTATTTCTGTCCTTATTAAAGGAGTGCCCGGTAGCGCAGGTTTCAATATTCGTTATATTCTTTGTTGTTAGCTTTCGCAATATTTGTATTTTTGTTTATACGGAAAAGGTCATTGATTGCTAGCACAAACCATACAGTTAGTTGGCTAGTTTAACTTTCTCTCAATCGGAACTAAACGTGTTGCTGTATCGAATTATACTTTCGTTATTTGATTACAAAATGGCAAATAGTCATAATTTCTTACATAAATGTTAGCCTATTTTTTATGACAGGTTGCCAAATATTCTCATTGTAAATAAACGTTGTGGTTTTTCCGAAAGTAGAATCACTGAAATGTCAGAAAGGAAGAGAGAGAAACGTATTTCGAAAAGTTGCTTAAGAAACCACTTAACGATTAAGTTAATATCCATCAATTAATGACGATTTCGTAATTATAAAGGCCGTAAATATTCAGTAATTATAATAAAAAGATATCTCGATCTGAAACATTGAATTAATTTGAATAGCCAACAGTGTATAAAGTTAACTAATTGGCCAAGAACATAGTTACTATATTATAACAAAATTATGTTTTTATAACATTTATTAGTGTGTATTTCAGTGTCGCAATAAAATACACGATAAAAACCAAATAGTTAAAATCTAAAATTAATTCTCGAAATACTAAATATAAAAAAATATAAAATTCCTTTACCTGCAAATTGATTCCTAGGATCTTTAGAAATTAATTTTACTATCCCATTGCCTACTCTGCTTTTCACGCTGATTTTATCGACTGAAAAATATTGAACTCCATCTTTCTCGAAGGGCTTCAGACTACCCCTTAAGGAAACGTCAGTGTTTGCTACAAAAATACAAATAGAGAAAATTTTAGTAGTGTTTGAAATATTAAGTTAGTTATTTATTTCATTATCCTGGATACAAATTATAATAATATATATTATAATTTTCATTCAAAAGGTGATGTATTACGTAAAAGTTTATGGATTAATTATTTTTCTTTACTGTGCAATTTATATTTTAATTTATATCACACTTTTCTAAATTGTATGCATTTTTGAAACTTACTGAAATTGCCCTTAAAGAATCCTCGTCCTTGCAAAGGAACAACTAGCAATCGTCCTGCAACATTGTATTCCATCGATGCAACGAGATTTGGAAGATTCACTGTAGCTTCGAACGACAAGTCATTTGGATCAAATCTTTTAAAAAATATTACTAGATAAAATAGTTGGTAATGTAAGTTATTTTAAAGTAAAAGGTTAATAAATAGTATAATAATCGTAATATCTACTAATATTACAAAGAAAAGCCATCAAATTAAATTTAAAATTTTTTTTTTTAAATTATTTTACATTACTGATTGCTGAGAAGTAAGTATGAATACCCATCCTATATTGTAACTGGTACGTTTCTCAAAAAAGTGAAATATACACTATATAAGCATCGCAATGAACAGTAAGCTGTTACATGCGATGCGTACTGAATCTAATCTTTCAGTAAATTCAATGGGAATCTAAGGTATGTCGTTATAAGCGATATCGCTATAAACGTTTATCCATTACAAAATTCTTATTAATATATTCTCATGATAAACTTACTTAAAATCTTGCAGAATATATTTGGACAATCCTGTTACTTTAATATTCTTTGTTGTGCCTATAATACTAACGAAGTCATTAAGAGTCCGATCAATAGAAAACTCTGGTATCTCCAGAGGTTCTAGTTTTGGTATATTCAGTTGTGGTATTCCTTTTATAACGTACGGCTCAGCCTTTTTAAACGCTCGCAATGTACATTCCTTAAAATTGGGATCAGATTTGCTACAAGGCCTTGGCAGGTAGTCCGCTGAAAATGACAACGTTCTACTTCAATTGAGGTCATCACAAACTAATTAAACAAAATGTGGTAACTATATTTTCCTAATGTAAATGAAAATTAATTTTTTAAGCAATAAAAAAACAGACAACAAAATTTTGCAAATGTATGAAAGTACATAAACAACATGACAACCTCATTACAGCTCATTTAAAACACGTTTTATAATGCTGCTACCCTTGAAAAATTAAAAAAGTCATTGCTTTCATGTTTTCATACATTTAATTGAACAATAATTGTCCTTGTTAAACTGGCTTCTTTTTTTGTGGAATTCTTCACAAGAAATTTTCTTTTATTTAGCCAAAATTTCCAGGTAGATACAAAAGACAATATAAACCTTTTATTTTTATTTTTATAAATTCAACTTTAAAACTATTTAATTTTAAAATGGTTTCCCACTACCTTAANAAAAAAGTCATTGCTTTCATGTTTTCATACATTTAATTGAACAATAATTGTCCTTGTTAAACTGGCTTCTTTTTTTGTGGAATTCTTCACAAGAAATTTTCTTTTATTTAGCCAAAATTTCCAGGTAGATACAAAAGACAATATAAACCTTTTATTTTTATTTTTATAAATTCAACTTTAAAACTAAGGAAGTGATAACTGCAGCTATCGAATCAATGAAGAATACAAGATTTTTATTAAAAGTAGCAAAAAGTCTATTCTTGTAATTGAGATTATTCAATTGCATTCTTCGTTAAAAATTCCAATAACCCAACTTAATAATGCAATGATATAATGCAGTAAAAGCGTTATAAGCAGTAATAAGTTAAACCATAACTAAAAAGTTACTGATTTTGAGTGCAACCTAAAAACTTCGATTACAATTTCTAAAACAGCAATCTGTTCGTTTCTTCACAAATTTTGAAAATCATTGTAACAGTAAGATTGTTACCCAAATAGGTACCATTTAAATCGTAATAGTAAAATAGGTATTACACAATTTCAAAATCCTTTCATTATACGAATAATGCTATTACAGAATTATCAAGTATAGGTTGTTATTCTACAATTAGGTATTTGTTTTTGGTTAACGATTTTTACATCTAATGGAATAAAACAAATAAAAGAACTGTTCATTAATTACGATGTGTCACAATTAAGAGTTCTAAACTGATATTTATCTCTAATCTTCTATATTATGTAATAATCCAAACGTCTTCTGCTTATAAAGTTTGAAATTAGATTATTTTAATTGTAATATTCTTTGTTCGTTATTTGCAACCTTTTCCAAAATGAAATCAGGATTGTAATTTAAGTATTATGTAAATATCATATTGTTATAGAAAAAGATACAGATAGACAAACTTTTAGATATTCTGTAAATCATAAAATTGATAATTTTGATGTACAAAAAATAGCAAAAAAGGGAAGCAATACAAGGAAATAATTTCTTCCGTTTGTGAAGGTCCAAATTTGCGAAAAAGTTAATAATTTATATAAAACACAAACTTACGAAGTACACCACCGTGGACTAGGGCGAATGAGGCTACAATCAAGACAACTATCACAGGTTTCATCTTGTAAATATCAAATTGAATTAATTAACTTATTTATATGATCACCGTATTTATAGTGTTTTATTTACAACAAGTCCATTAATTTTCCTCCCGAAGGTTATCAAGAAGACTTAAATGTTTTTCACAACGAGTTGCACAGTTCAATTCAACCAACACTACATTCAATACAACAGCGTAGATATTGCAATTTGAAATACGTTTTATGTAAAGATATATTTCCTACAAATAAAACTTGCAAAATGTAGGTACTAATTTTACTGGCAAATCTCAGTTTCCTTAGTTTTAGATATTTGCTTATCCCCGTCTTGTTCAGCCCCCCTTACTCTTAGTACGGTTGCATAATGTCCATAATACGACATAGATTAAGGTTATTGACGGTCATTTTTTTATAGAATATCGTTTCACTTTCTTTGGCATTACAATTTCCTACGGTTGCTACTGAAATCGAAGTCATGCTTTCTTCCCACAACTAATTGCGATTTCTAGCAGCAGTTTACAATAATTGGTACTCGTCTACGTCTACATAATGTAGGTAGCAGGTATACCTATGTAGATAGTTGTTTCTGTTACAGGAAGAACAACCGAATGCTATATAATTATTTTAATGTTGCAACGCCAGTTGTACCCATCCGGTTCTTGAAACAGTCGAATTAGGTACAACTTTTCAATATACAATGTAGGGCTGGACAAATTATCCTATTAATCGAATATTAATCGATTAGTCGTTTGATAATCGCTTAATTTCTCTTTTTTTTTTAATCGATAAATCATAAATAATTAGTTTTTTTTTATTCTTATGCTTTTGTTAAGAATCATAACGTATCTACGACTTTCCATAGTTCAGGTCATGTAAAACCCATGCAACAGCTATTGTATTTAGGTCTAAGAAATGGCGTGCAATATTCTAATATTATTTACATTTCTAAAGATATTAAACCGCACGTCATAAAACTGTTTCAAATATTTGTGCAATTTATTGTCAATATATATTTGGGTATGCCTTTTGCACTACCTGTACTACCCCTGCCCTCTCAATACCTCCTTCTTTAGTCAATTTTATTACCACTCCTCTTAATCAATGATAGACGCTAAATTCAAACCACCCTCTATTGCAACCCCAATTTTAACTTCAGAATTAATAAATATTCAAAAACATAAATTGTGGTCAGTCCATTTTTTCATGTAACCTCTCCGCACATTTGGAACAACGATTTGTACATAGTGTAAATAAAATATCAAAACCACTGTCCTGTTTATTCGTTTTAAATAAGTGGTACAGCTTTTTAATTAAGGTTATACAGCAGTAAATTTTCATTGGTGATAACCTCTCGAAGCCCACTGCCTATAAACCTAAAACAGCTTCATTGAAGAAGTTGTCGATTTTCTACATTTAGGGAGTCAGATAACTCAAAATGGAAAAAACGCTAGAGATATAGACTGAAGTGTAGATATAGATATATGTAGCTCTAAGTTTCTGTGAATGGGAAGATTGGCTTAAATGAAGGTGCGTGTTCAAACAGTCCAATCTTCTGGGTGAAAAATAAATATGAAACATGAATGTTCCTGTAACTCAATAATTTCGATTAATCGGTTAATTTTTATATAAATCTATTATTTTCCTTAATCGATAATTTCCTAGACTAATAGATAATAATTGATTGCTGAATTACAGGATTTCCCAACCCTAGTAGCATGAAACGTACTCCATTAATGAATAAACTGCTGAATCAATAATTCTGTTCTTTAGAAATGAATGAAATAAAGCATAAAAACCCCAAACCCCGCATAAAAAAGTTTTAAAACATAAAATGAGTTTTAACGCCTAAGATATCATATTCAGGTAAAGATCGAGAATGGTACTTCAAAGTAACTTGATCGCTAACTGAGGGAGGCGCCTTACGTGTCGAAACGAGTTTTAGATTTTGGATTATAGTGTTTTATTATCAGTTTCAATCGCCTCCACCTGGTTTTCTTACACTTTTGTAATGGACAAGAGAATAATTAATAATTAACTTTCCTTCATACCGAATTTCACGATTAAAGGATAAAAGAATTTGATCAACAAAACATCCTCCAAGGATTCTTTCTTTTCATTCTAAGATATGAACATTTAAAGACAAAATAGCCAAAAAGAGACCACCCCCATTACTTTAAGCAGAAGTTATCAGGTTGCCACCTTCTAATAGCAGGTTGACTACTTCTATTTTCAATCGTAAAAATTTATTTCAATTTTATAAAATCCGAAAAAAAAATACAAAAGCAGGTATGCTTCAGAATATTACGAACAATTATATCTTTTCTCTTATATAGTCCTTTCCCCCTATGAAAGGTGATATGTTTGATACAATTTGTCATAATTTCATTAAAAAAATTAACAAACAGTAGTGATATTGCACCGGTTTATTAAAATTGTAGAATTAAAACATTTATTTGATAAATAAATTCAGGATTTTTAATAAGGTATCAGTAGATAATAAAAAATTATCTACTTTATTAGGCAGTAAGACTAACATTAAAGAAAATACAAAAAGATAGTGTTCATTTTGGTTTCTGAATTAATACTTCAAGAAATATATACAAAAAAACTTTCGTACTATAAAAGTGAATAATTTATTAAAACGAAATAATACAAAAACAATTAAGGAAACAATTCACTGTAGGTAAACCTCAACGTTATTTTATTTGCAACATCTGTGAACTTTTCAGCCAAAGCATTTTGCAGTGCAGGAACAATTTCGTCCAAGAATAAATGAATATTTTCGTTGATAACGTCGTTTGTTGCCTTTCCTAACACTGGGTCGCCATTAAACAAATTTTCTAGAACGATTTTGGAACTTCCTATGTGAATGTTGAACTTCATCTTATCGAACTCCAGATATTCTCGAGACTCTTTCTGTACTTTGTGGCCTTTCATAGCACAATCGAATACAAAATCGGCTAAAAAAAAATAAAAGACGTTATTCATTTTTAAATCAAATTACTGAAATTATTTACTCACATATATTCATTGACATTGGTCCGTTTCCTTTGATGTTAATGAACAGTATTTTGGAGTCCGTGTCATATTTACCAAAGACGCTCATTTTTGGAATGTGAACCCTGAACCTGAAGAGGTTCTTCTTCAGGTTTGGACTAAAAAAGCGATGAGACTTATTAAAACTGAATACACAGAAGGATATTAAAACTTAAAGAAACAAGTAGCAGGTTAACAATACAAAAAACGGTACGAACTATTTGGGATCTTATGGCAAAAAAAGGAAACTTCTTTCATGCTTTAATGTTCAGAAAATCAACTTTTAGGAAGCTACAGAAAAGTTTCTTGTCCACGGTTTCCTTATTCTCGGGTGAAAAAATTGCAAACAAGTTCCTGTATTCGCGACTAAAAATTTTATTATTCGCGGATGCAATTGGTAAACAGAAAAGGATTCGGTCTCATTTATAAAGGGATTGACCGCAATAGACCGCTCGCGCCTAGTGTGAATTTTCCCGAAAACATGGGTTTCTATTCTAAACTATGTGATTTAGCGCTGCGAGATAAATATGTGATTTTTTGTATGGTAACGAACAAAGGTTCACACTAACTCGGTACGTCTTTGGTTTTCAGTAATATGGTCATCAAAAGCTTTTACAAATGCTTAAAGTTGATGCTTCTTGTAGGACACGTATTTTCAATAGAAATTAAAAAAATAAAAAACTGCCTTCGACAGGCTTTAGAACAAAGCTGTATCTATCTTACTACAAAATTTCAAACCTCTGTTCCAAACATTAAACTCATAATATCTAGAACCGCTAAGCATGTTTTTACTCTACGGCGCGTGTACTACTGAATCGGCATCTTGAGTATGTACTGTTGCTACGTGCCGAGGCCTCTTTTATAAAAGATGTTACCGAGTGGATTAATTCAAAATTCAAAAGAAGAAAAAATCACTAAATTTTTTAAACCCTTGTCTAAAGGTGATTATAACGATTAATTTTAATTGCGAATTTCTCGATAAATGGATTTTATTCTGATACATATTGGTTTTATTTTGGAACCTTAGAACGTATCCCCTATGATTCCATACTACTAATTACCATTCCATATTCGCGGCATATTTATGGAACGTATATCCACCCCGCGAATGAAGAACTTTTACTGTAATTACACAAAATGGTTGCCTGAAGTACAATAACTATATTTATATAAACCTAGACATGTACATATATAGAAACTTTTAATATCATAATGGGAATTTTTAATTTTAGATTTAGCATTATATTAGGTCCACCTTTTATTATTAGTATTGGGTTTAGAAGTGGCTTAGATCCTAGACGGAATCGAAAGTAGTGATTTATTCGAATTCACCGCGGCATAGACATCTGATTCTTATTTGTACTCATGTATACTTACGTACATAACGTTGCCCTCACAAAAGGTACCTACTTTCACATTCCTTATCAATCAAAAGTAATAATTGATAAATAGCTGCAATTAGGCTCTGTCTAAAATATTTCAGGAAAGTATCGTGGCGTGCGGCAGGTTAGAGCCGATAATAATTCATGATTTTTAAATTACTTGCATAACGAGATACGCAAAAGGCAATTAATTACTAAAACTATTTTATTGATCATTTCGCCAGATCAGTAAAGCTGCACGTTGGCGTATGTACAGATACATTTCTAAACATGCACGTCTATTTGTATTAATTGATATGAACCGTGCACGTGGTGGATTATTATTAAATAATCTAATTCTCGCGTGTCAGCTCTAATAATAATGTGATTATGGTTTAACTAACGAAGTAAGTTGTTGTTCCCGCTGTTTAATCATGTCCATTCCTCGGTATTATGGTAAGTGAGAGGTTATTCCCCTTGGCTTTAGCCCGTTTATTAAAGTTCGGACATTTAAATTCTTTTGCTCATGTACATAATATAATCTAACTCTTTTTATTGCTTCTTCATTGATTTTAACTGTCTCATTGTTGTTTGATTTATTTGTTGTCATTTGGCATTTTTAAGCTCAAGTTTTATAGGCGAATTATTATTAGTCTTCTCTTTTGAATTTAGATTTGGTAAGGAATTTGTTATCGCCGATCATACCTACCATGTGCAGAATACTATTTATCATTTAATATACAACAGGAACATATTTATTAGTAGACAAAAATTAACTAATTGTATGTCCTTAATGTTCCTACTGATTTCAGCATTTTCACTAGTAACGCACCACCATTGGGTGAGTTTTTCCCCTATATATCGTTACATTTATTTAGGCGCGTGAACGTGTGCTTCAGTTGTTCAGTTTTTTGTTACAAGGAATATAATAATATGTGCAAAATAGTTTTTAAAAGTATTTAAATAAAAAATGCAAATAC